AACAATACAAAATCTTAGACATATGACCTTGAGCCCAATAACCACTGCCTCATAGTTGCTTCGTCCTTCTCCATTTTGTTTGACCCTCTACATGTTATGCCATGTCAAACGCTTTATCATACGCTCAACCCTTAAACCTAACCAGTTCAACCACGGCCCACTATGACCGGACTTGAGTTTCGATGGCTGCCCGTTGCTGTTTGTTTTGGGCCATTTGGCTGTCAACATTTGGAGTAAACATTGAGCACAATACATCTATTAATAAGTATATTATTTATTTAAATAAGTATTTTATTTAAATCATAAAAAATTAGGTAAATAATAAGTATGAAAATAATATGTTCATAAGTATCAAATTAAATAATAAGTATAAAGGATTAAGACTGTTTACTTGACCTATTTAATTATTTTATTTAACTGATGTGTTTTCTATACTTATATAATTAAAATTTTATATATACTTATTACATTTAATATCTATATAATAACAATAATTTTTAAAAATAAAAATAATAAAATAATAAAATAAAAATAAAAAAAATCGCATATACAATTTATAAATAACGAATTTTAAACCAAACACATATTACACATGCAGTCAATAACTTTTTTCCTTCTTTGTACTATTAGACAAATAATGAGTACTTATAATTTCAAATTTTGATTCTTTTTAACCTTTTTTTACTTTTTTATTAGTAATTTTCAAGTCATAGTTTTTGTTTATTGTATAGATAATTTTTTAATTTCAAACTCCAAATTTAATATGATAAGAATTATAAGTTAAAAGCATAGATATTAGGATGTTAAAATAAATGCAATACCATTAGCCACTATCCTTTTCAAACAAATCAAAACAGAGGATTAAGAAATTATAAATCCAAAAACCTATACATCTTCTTTGAAGGATTTTTATTTTGTTATTTAATTTATTTTTATTCTTTATTTTTTGAGTGCATATTTCTTGTTCTTTATTGTTAATTATTTAATTGAATTTAATTATTTAATATTAATAGTACATAAATTTAAATTATGGATATGAAAATAAATTTTAGTTCTCTATTATTATTTTATATTATGTTTAAATTTATATTGTAATAAATAATATTTTATTAATATTTTATTAGTTTTATTTAAGTTTAGATTGAAAATAAATAATATTTTATTAAATTTTAATTTAAAAAAATTAAAGCGAAATATCATTCAACAAATGCATAAATATATACTCGTAAGCTACTTAATATCTGTTGGATTAAATACCAAGTATAGGTTTTTAAGTATCTAAATAAATACTAAGTTTAAAAAATTATACTAAAAGATTTTCAAATTAAATATTAAATATATCTCATATCAAACTTGAACCTGAAAATGCTCACCCCTACTCAACATCATCAGTGCAACAGAGCCCTTTCTAGCTATAATTTTCACTTAACTTTTTTTTTTTTGGTCAAACTTAAGGTTGAGGTTCAAATCTAGTAGATGACAGATTTTTTTTAGAGTTTTTTTTCTAATTTTGAATATTGTGTTTAAGGGGTTAAATCTGAAATATTTACATTGTGCTCTATATAAAAAATTAAAATAAAAAAAAATTATTTATGGTTTGTTTATTGAAAATACTATAATTATAATATTATATAGTGTTTTGTAAGTTTTAAATATGATATTTTATTTTATAATTAATTCTTTTTATTTAAGAATAATCCATTCATAATATTATATGTATATTTATTTAATGTTATATTATATTATATTTTTAATAATAATCTTATATAATATTATAACTATAACATTATTAGTTTATCACTATTATTTTTTGTACCTTTAATTAATTTACCTCACCTCTGTTAAGGTTTTTGTTATTCCCAAACATACCCTACAGATATCCGAGATCATGTGGTAAATATCCAAGGGTTCAGCTGTCAAGATTTATAAATGATCAATTTAAGAATCATATAGCCTAACGACGACTAACAGCTCCCTCCTAGAGAATACTAACTAAGAGGTAATTAAATTGTCAAATATAATTAAATTAACTTTTATAGAATATCCCGATTAATTCTCCCTCACACACTTTCCACGCCTCTCCTCCTTATTCCTTCTAGCTAATTCTAAAAACTTAAAAAAAATAAAAAAATAAAAAAATAAAAAAAAAGAAGAAGAAGATTCCTCACGGTATCCAACGTTCTATTCACTCGTGGATCTGGCGGTCGGAGGGGAACCACCACGGCTCCTCTCTTCTCGATAATCCATACATACATCTCTTATCAATGTATGGACTGTTATTTCTCGAGCACAGGTTTAGATTTGGTCTCAATGGGAAAAAAATGAAGCACCAAACAACGTATCTTTACAGATCGCCCTTTATTTCGTACCCTCATTTTTCTTTTCGTATGATTTTTGCTTACTATATCTGCTGACGTAGCATTATAAACAGTATTATTACTTTTGCTCCTGTCGGGATAAATCTGATCCCTTTCTCTGTTTCCACCTAAGTATATGGGATATTTTAAGAAATGAACATCCTTATTAGTAACAGGGTCTTGGAGAAAGAACAGGAAAGGTGATTTCACCTTATTTCTTACCAGGAAAAGGGCCTATCACAAGAACATTTTTTTTAGGCAAACCCATGGAAATACCCCTTTTTCAATGAAAAATAGACACCGTATAACTTTATTGCATTGGACTATGCTACGGGCCTCCCTCCTTTTTTATAGAGATCCACATCGTTTAATCTCTAACTAAGTTCTAAGTTCTAAGTTCTAATGCCTTGTTTTGCAGATTTCTCATCAAAACCTGACGATTGTCTACAGTGTACGTTAAAAACCTGTGCATATTGCTCGTCAGAAACTTGATAGTCATTTTTATAGGCCCATCACTTTCTCGTAAAAGGTCCACAATTAAACAATGCCCGATCAGTCTATTAACACTGACTAGTGACCCCTCCGAGCACTCCCCCAAAGTTGTATGGAATTAAAAAAAGAAAAAAAAAAAGAAAAACAGTATGCAACCATTGTATCACTTTCTCAGCCCAGCTTATATCAGTAATTAATAAAAAATGATTTACATAATTAATATTTCAGTTCTTTTCAAATATTTTAGAGCGTACCAGGCAGGGATTCGAGAGGTAGTTTGTTGGTCCTGAGCGACGAACAGAGGAGACTGATTGCTCACAGGAGCGCGAGAATCCATTTCTGAGTTGAATTAAATTTTATACCCTCCCCTTCTTTATCCAGCACGTCACTGCCTGCATTCCTCAACCTTCTCTTGATTTTCCTGCAATCAAATTGAAATACGTATTAACATTTTGGCTTAACGTGTGATTGTGTAATCTAATTTTAACTTGTGTTCTAATTAATATTCTAATTAATATGATTTTGTTGATGGTGTCATGATGAATATAATTATTAATTTTTAATTTCTAAAAAACTTTTATTTATAATAAATAGAAAACAAAACGAAAAAATAGAACAGCGGATCAAGCAAAGTGATTTTGAAATTGCAAGCTTATGATACATATTTTTGGTAAAACTGAGAAAATTTAGACAAACGAAAATTAGAAAGCAGGGAAGGTAGCCCCCTGTATATCTCCAATCAAGATGTGACGAAAACTAGTTGGTGGCGTATCCAAAATGCTCACACCTGGGCGTGATGAGCGACCCCGGGAGGCAAGGAAGTCAGCTGCAGTATTCCTTTGGGGCAGGGTGTGTTGCAAGCACTAATATTTTACAGAGCACGGAAAATATGAAATTCCAAACTTCCTTTCGAGGAAAAGAAAAAGGGAAATAGTGTAGTATCCGAACATGGGTACGCAGCTCTGCATAAAAGCTAGCTCATTTGTGCTGGCTCTTCATCCCTATATGGTCACTGTAACATACATAAAAACAGAAAAATCAAATTTATGTAAACAGTCTGCTTTAAAAAATGGTGAAATGCTTGTTTAACTTTCTTAAATTCAAGGAATGGGTATAGGAATCCATTTTAGTAATTGT